AAATTAAAGCTGTTTAATTCATTTGTTCAACCTATTTACTATATGGTTGTGAAACCTGGAAAATCAATATGGAAGATGAAAAGAAACTGAATACTTTTCAAAGCAAATGTCTAAGATATATGTTGCATTTCAGGTTCAATATATTTTTGAACCTCCAGTTTAATCTAATTTGTTCCAGTACAAGACTTCTTGCTTCTTAGTCTTGCTTCATAGTCCACAGTACTACCAATTATACCATCAAGGATTTTGTTGGTGGTAATGTTTGCAAATTGTTTTTATCTTAATTGTAATTTATTAATGAAGAAATAATGCTGGCTCAGCCCTATTCCCAAACCTATTCCCAAACCTAAACCTAACCCAAAACCTAACCCTAAACCTAACCCTAAACTGATTTGTACTGGATTGAGTTATATTGGACTGGCTCAAAATAAACTGAACCAGTTCAAAAGAAATTGAACTGGTTCAAGATCATATTGAACCTGAACTAAAACATATATTTTGAGGATATGATGGTGGGAGAAGGTCACCAACGACAAGGTCAGAGAAATGGCAGATGTAGAAAAGCTCAGTAACGAAATTAGGCGTAGAAGATGGAATTGGATCGGTCATATCCTCAGAGGGGAAAATGAAAGTGACTGTTTGATAGCTTTAGAATGGACACCGGAAGGAACTAGAAGAGCAAGGGGAAGACCAAAGACTACTTGGAGAAGAACGGTGCTGAAAGAAAGGGACAACGCAGAATGGAAGACTTGGAATGAAGCCAAAATGGCAGCAAGGGATAGAGATGGATGGAAAGAGGGGGTGAAGGCCTTATGCACCTACTGGCGCGAAGAGTTATGATGATGATGATGATGAAATCCTTCTCGGTTTCCAAATAGAAATTCAAAGACTCTGGTTGTTGACGAATGACACTTTGATTTGATTGGTTCAAAAATGCCTATGACCCATCAGTATGCATATATCATACAAAGAAGATTATGGTTTTTCCATTATTTATGTTTTTCCATTGGGAAGCTGAAATGGTTCTGGGTACGAGAGTCGAAAAAGGTGATGAATGACAATGTTTTTTTCCTTTTTTCTAGTTTCTTCGAGGGAATTAAAACCAAGTCAAAACACATTTTGGGGCGATTGGGATGATGATATGGACAGTAGACCAAGAGTGGAATAACTGTGTCATAAAGAAGAAGAAGCGAGTTTTCTTTCCTTTACTTATAAGGCAGACCGAACTTTTTGAGTTTAATCTTACAAATAAGTGGTAAATTATTACCTTTGAAGACTTTGAATTGCATTTCTGGTAGCACGTTTTACAGCAGAACCTTTGACATATGTGCCAGACGAACAAACAMGYGAGAGAGATGATATTGAGCGGTACAGGGACAGGATGATAGTTAACATAGGTCCTTATTGTTGTTGCTTTCCTGTACGACCATTCATAAAATGCATTATCCTGAAATAAGTATTAAATCCCTCATTAAACCCTTTCCAAAAGGCATATGTATCGCAATAATACTTTTTTTAGTTTTGTAGTTTTTTTCAACTGATTCTTTGAATACAAACATTCTTTTTTTACTGACATGTTTTTTTAAAGGACAAATATTCCTTTACCTCAACTTTTTGGTATGTGTTTGAGAGTAGAGCTATCATCATGTTCATCATCATTACTACAGCCATTATTAGGAATGCACCATACAGTAATTTAGCWAGCACATTAGATGGGCCATCGGTTGACTGGAGAGGGTCCAGCTCCGCAATGCCGAGAAGAGACCACAGGAGATGTGTTGCAGAGCTCCACCAACTTCACCATAAAAAATAACAAAGAAACCGAGTTGATGGGAAACCTAAATTAGCAGGTAAGAATAACAGACAACCATAGTTTGGAGGCATTTTTCCTCCCTAGTTGGTCCATTGTGCAAACAAGGGATTGATCACCCTCACTGTAAAAACGGCTAACTTAGAAAACTGAGGATACTGGATATATTATGCAAATGTGGTCTAAAAAAGTGTAAATACCACAGAAAACATTTGCGTATCCGCATTTGTACGTACCTCAATCAGAGGCTGAATATGTTTTTATTGTTTATTTTTTATTTTTTAATTATTTTTATTACTGTGTTCAATAAAATTCCACTCACCAAGCTATACCACCCTTTCGGTTTTCACAGAACCTGAAAAGAGGAAAAACGTGATCTTAACCAAAGCACTTAAAAAAATATGAATATCAACAATACGCGCTGGGAGTGTAATTCGTTATCCTTTAAAGAAGTGTTGGATTGACGAGCAGAAGTTGTATTTTCAAATGTAAGGCATATTTAACAAGTTCAAGGTAATGTACACATATACTAAAGGTCTTAAAACGACAATGCCATAAGCCAAATAATATACCCGCGTTCGTAATATACTCGAAGCTCGCCAGTATGATGTATCAAGGCCCATTTACACTTGCGATTTTTGCAGCGCGATTGCCGCGCGACAATTGCCATTTTCAGTGTTCTCGCACACCTCTTGCAAACAGCCCTGCGATTGTCGCGGCGATCAAAATTCGCCGCGAGCTGCAAATAAATTTCAAGCATGTTCGAAACTCAAGCGATTGTCGCGCGACAATCGCGCTTCAAAGATTGCAATTGTAAACGGGCCTTCAGATGATCTAACATGGTCATGATCTTAATATCATAATTCGTGCTTACGAACCCATGTGAAGTAGAGTTTGTTCCAGTGGTGTAAGACATTTCTGCCACGTACACTTTGGTAATGGCAAGAGAAAACGCCAATACTGCTGCCAGAAACTGTCCAAAGATTGCCACTACAGCACCGATGATTTGAAAGAGAGCAATTTGGATTGACCCTGTGTACTTTTTAGATTCCATGATGTGACCAAATACTCTGAGAGTGAGGAACATGGTATCGAGGCCATAAAAGTACCCTGAAACTGCCAACAAGCGGTTCCTAGAAACTGGGCGGTCTTCGGCCCATGTTATCAATCGTAAGATAAGGATAACAACGTATACAAGCAGTGTAATCAAATCGAGAACATTCCACCAGTCACTGTCAAAATAAATGTGATATAAAGGAAAGAAAAACAATTGTTTATTTCCAATGCTCAACTCCATTGCGAAATGAAAAAANAAATATATGTACACTAGGAAGGGAGCGAATCTTCGAAGTGCTCAAAATCACTCCAGAGACGCTTTTATGTTAATATTCTTAACCAACGTGCTATTTAATGATCATTCTAACTTTTTGAGAGATTTCTGATAATTATTTACAGTTTTCAGTGGTTTTGGAAGGCTTTATTCAAGTTTATTACGAACCTACCTTGAAACTAATTAAAAATTCAAAAATTATCAACGGTTCAACACATTACGTCATCGTCCTCTGATAATAAGTTTGGGCTACCTGTGGATGCTATGGCATAGACCAATTTTTCCTTGTGATGTGGTTCGTTGAGTGGCATGTTTTTATATATTGTTTTCAGTGTATTTCGATAAGATGATATTTGACATTAGTTTTTTCCACTCACTAGATATGAGCAATCGCGTGCTCTGATTGGCTCCTATACTACTAGGCTATCAGCTCATATACCGTGACCTCAGCAAAACAAAATGGCGGAGCGTTTTGTTGAGCTCAGCGAAGAAGAAACAAACTATTTATTAGAAAACAAAACTCCAAAAAATACCAGAAAAGCTACAAAGTATGAAATGAAAGTTTTTGATGGTAAGAACCTATAAATTCTATACTTTTAAAGTCTTACATAACTTACATTTTTACAATTGTTACAGTAATTTTGCCGGTTTGTTTACTAAATTTCCATTGACCACGAAGCGTAAAAAAGTTGTTTGTTTGTTTTTCTTTGTTTAGACTGGCTCACAAATTCAAAGAAGTATGATAAATATATTACAGAAATGTCTAAGGAGGAGCTGAATCGTTGTCTGAAGATGTTTTATACGTCCGCAAGACAGAGGGATGGGAGTTTTTTCAAGAAAACTACAATGAAGTGTCTTCGCGCAGCCATTGACAGATTTTTGAAAACTTCCGCAAAGAAAACCTTTACCATCATCGGAGACCCGGAATTCAAGGAATCGAATGATGTTCTCGATGCCTTTGTCAAGGATTTAAGAAAGAGTGAAAAAATTGCTGGGGTTGTGCATAAAAAAGTGATAATCAAGGAGCATGTACAACAACTCTACAAGAGCGGGCAACTCGGACCGGCCGATAACAATGACCCAACACAATTAATAAATACTTCATGGTTCTACCTTAGTTTGTATCTCGGAAAAAGAGGCAGAGAGAATTACAGGCAGCTCAAGCCATCCATGCTATGTCTGAGGTCGACACCAGACGGACGAGAGTACTTTGAGCTGAATTGAGAAGTCGCTGGATCAGTTCCCGCTACTAAAAACCACCAAGGAGGCCTGTACGATCCCGAAGACGAATGAGACGGCAAGATTTTCGCTATTCCTGAATACAATTACTGTCCAGTAAAGACCATCAAGAACTACCTGAGACATCTAAATCCCAAATGTGAATGTTTGTTTCAAAGACCTAAGGACGCAAAATGCCAGAAGTTTAATCCAAGTGATGAAGTGTGGTACTCTAACATGGCGGTTGGTGAGTCCACTCTTGGCAATATGCTACGCTCAATGTGTGTCAAGGCTGGAATAAATCCCCCACTGATCGACCAACCATTCCATCAGAGCAACCTCGGTCACAGTGTTATCACAAGCTAACTTTGAAACCAGGCACATCAAATCAGTCACTGGGCACAAATCAGACGACTCCATTGAGTCTTACAGCAACCGTCCATCGTTTGATGAACAACACATGATGTCAAACGCGTTGAGTTCGCTTGTAAATCCTGATACCTCTTCTCTCGCTCTCCCTATACAAGAGCAGCGTAAAGAAAACAAAGAGAATCAGCTGACAATATCCAATGTCTCCGCTGACTCGGTAGTAGAGAGCACAACGGGATTTGTCAACATCAATGGCCGGAACGTCCTGTCACAAGCGCCAAATTTCAACTTCAACAACTGTAATGTCAACATCTTTAACCGATATTGACTTTTTAACACTTTTTGACTCTTTTAGACAGTCATATTTAGATAGATTGTGTCTCCATTGTGTCTTATTTATATGAAAGTGTGACACACATTGTCAATTTGATAAGTCGATCGTACGCTCTACTGCGCATGTAAACGTAATTTGTCACTTCACTGAATCGGAAAGTTTGTCAATTTTTTTCATGATTTTTTTTCGCTGTATTAAAGTCTCACAAAATAAAAACGCTTTTTTATTCTTATTTTCTCGTAATCTAGTGAGTGGAAAAAAACTAAAACAGTACGCCTCGTTGGCTATCAGCTCATGTACGACGAGATTGAGTGGAATAACTGCTAAATATCACCAAAAGAAGAAAATGTTGACTTGCCACTGTCTATAGTTCAATTCTTTCGTTTGGGGATGTTCAAGAACGATTATTTTCGAAGTGGCTCATTTAAACGAGTAAATATATTAGACTAATTCGAAAACTCCGAACAGTTAATACAGGAAAAAGGAAAATGCAAACGCTATAGATATTTTAGTGATTTTTTAGGATTTCAAATTTTGCACCATTTTTCAAATAGGTCCCATTATACACGAAAAAAACCTAGCTAATGCATGGAGTTTGTTGAAAAAGCAAAAGATTCAAAAATTAATTGACCTGGCTTTTAGGACAAACTCAAAGAACACAAGGAAGTGATTGCGTACATGTGCAACTAAAGACTAGCAGATTCCTACAGATTACCAGTATGATTAAAAGGAAATGTATGCAAGCTGGCTTTCCTTCAAGGAGAGTAGTAGTTACTGCTCATCTTGGACATGAATTAGAATTTAAATGCAAGCTTGGAGTTATAAAGTCGAATTGGTGAAAATAAAATCACCAATAAGGTGTTGAAACCAAGCAAGCGGCTGGGAAATCAAAGACTGCAACAAGTCACCAGCAAATTACAGTATCAACTTGCAACCTGAAGAAAATAGATATTATTACCGTCGACAAATTTCTTGACAAACCAAGTGACGGGCTTGGAACTCAAAAACTAAAACATTCCCCCTATCAAAGTCAATTATTAAGCCCGACATTAAGGCTACAAAACTATTCTGTTGTATTACTTCACGTTCCAGAAGAGGAATAGTGCTTTCTTAGAAAAGCTGCAACGTTTTACAAGTTCGTAAAATCTCAAGCTTCAAATTCTTCAATTTGAAATTTGAACATACACGCTGGGAAATTAATACCCCTTTATCAGCCACCCAATGTCCACTACATCCCAGTCTTTTAAGGAGAGAATTGAGCTCGGCCGGAGTTCATTCATTCCGAAGCTGGTATGCCTGTAGTTTTATTGGCCC